GAGCTGTGCAGGTGTTGGTTGCCCCGAGGCTTCTCTTGCATGAGTGGAGCAGAAGAGCATCCCATGCTTTGGGAGCACTGAGGAGTCGGGATGTTGCACCGTGTAAAGTGAGGAGCGGACAACTTGTTTTCCTTGGGTTCAGTCTTCCTAACCTGTTGTTTTTCTCTCTTCTCACTGCACTGGAGCAGTGCCATGGCTCTCCATTCCTCCAGCCTGAGGGCTTTCATTTTTCCCAGGCAGTGTTTTGGGAGCTGGTGAGGTCAGTTCCAGCCAATCCCAATGGAAATCCCATGGTTTGGACCCAGTCCCCTCATGCTATGCTCAGTGGCATGGCTGCAGAGAACTCGGGCACTTTGCACGCAGCCTTGGCCAGCTTGGCACAGCTGTAGCTGTAGGTTTGGATATCCTGCTTTCCTCGGGGTTGACACCATGAACTTCTCCATCCCATCTCTCCCAACAGGGTTGGGTTTTGCCATTGGCTCACGGGATGAGCATTGTCCCCATGGAGGTGGCACCCATGAGGGGATGGAGATGGAATGGCAACCCCAGGCTGAGGTTATCTCTCATCCCCTGGCACACAGTGAATTATGAGCTAATAGCACTTTATTAAAACAGTGTTTTGTATTGGAGAGCAAATCCAAGAGCAGATGGATGAGCAAGTGATCCATCACTCCCCATCGCACTGCCGCCAGCTGAACCGCCTCCCCTGCGCTCTATGTTACAGCTGGGAGGCAGATTTACAGCCTGGTCATCTATCTGTCCTCACTGCCATCCTGCCCAGCATTTACTTTGTCACCGAACTGCTGTGCTCAGCATCTCTCCACCCAACCCTGATGCAGAGGCTGGGAATGGCGTGGCCCCTCTTTCTCTCATTCCCAGCTCAGGGCTGAGCACAGCTGCCTCCCCCACCCCAATCCAGCCTTGCTCTGATCCCAGCAGCATCGCTCAGTGCAAAGAGAATGGGGGGGGGGGGGGGGGAGAAAAACCACTCAGATGCAAAACATGCAAAAAGAATATTTTACTGACAAACAGCAAAGGGTGGGCTTAGTTTCAGGAGCAGAACTGGTTACCTACTGTACAAACATATCGCTGGAAGGGAAGGAATGGCTAAATTAGGCTCGCTCGTTGACCCAAATAAAATCACAGTGTGCTTTTCCTGCTGCCTCCCCCACCACGTGCTCCGAGATGTCCCTCAGCTTGGGCACAGCAGCCCTAATGCCATCTGCACGGGCAGGTGTGTTTAATAGAAAATTGGCCATTATTGCTTTTCAACCACAGTAGGGACTGCTCTGGGCTTGGACTCGGAGCAGAGGGTAATCTCTCCCTCCGTTGTTATCAACTCAAGTTGTACCTCTCCTGTCTGATGCATGCAGAACGGGTTTGAATGCAGGAAAAAAAAAAAGGGAAGGATTAACAATCAGGGAAAGCAGCACCCTGGGCTCTGCCTTGTGTCCTCACTGCAGGGCAATCCCGGCAGGTTCCTCCTGTGCTGCACTGCCCTGCTCTCCTGTGCACTGCCCTATCGCTGGAAGACATGTCTGCTCCACCAGCGTACTTGGGGTGAATGCATTGTGGTCCAAAGGTCTTTCTCCTTCTGCTGAATGATAATGGAAGCACTTCTGGTCTTTCACCTCTAGAGATGCTCTGGGAGCTTCTGTTGGCTGTTTCTAGCTTTGAAGCTCTCCCATCATAGAAGTGGGGGTGGGAAGGGTGGCATTGGAGTGGGACTGCCCGAGGGCTCTCCTGCCTGTGCCCTCCAAGATGGTACCCAAGGTAAGTGAGGGCTCCTGCTGTTTGCTCGTGCCTCCTGCAAACCAATATACTGGCTCGTGGGCTGAAGGGAAGCTTCAGCTCCCTATCACCCTCTGCACAGCTTTGTGTTTTGCAGAATCTCTACATGGTTGAGGCTAGAGGGGACCTCTGGACCCAGCCCCTGTTCAAGCAATGCTGCCTCATCCTTCTCCCTCCAAAGAGAAGACTCCACAACCTCTGGGCAACCTGTGCCAGCACTCCAGCACCTACACCATGCACAAAGTGCTTCCTGATGCTCCATTGCCTGTGTCCCATCCCTGGCACTGCTGGGAAGAACCTGGCTCTGTCAGCTTTACTCCTTCCCTTCAGGTACTCATACAGATGGGTGAAATCCCCCTAATAGCCTTCTCTTCTCCTGGGAGATGCTCTGCTCCCTTCACCATCTCAGCAGCTCTTTAGAGTCATTTGGGACCGGATATTCTCTTCTCCCAGCTGCGTGCAACTGGAAAATGAGGTAGAGAACAGCAGTGAGAGCCACCAAGACCACCCTGCCATGGTGTGAAACTTGGGATGTGGGTCTGGGCTCCCTTCTGGGCCTCCTACAGCACATGGCCACAGTGATTCCAGATAGGAAGCAACTGGACAAGATGGCCTTCATTAGCACATGGCTCTCCTACAAAGAAGGGACGCGGTAGGAACAGAGGAGGGCTGGCACAGGCTGGGTTCAATGTGCTTCTCTTGGGGAGAACGTTTCCAGCACCAATCCCAGCTCTGGAGGATCAGCAAGCACAGTTTGCAGAGCTGTCTCTGCTCTAAAAATAAGCCCTCCTGAGGCAGCACAACGTTCCTCCACCACCAAATGCTGCAGGAACCTCCCTCAGAGCATCTGGTGGCCGAGCACTGGGACACGGAGCACACTCCCACTCCTTGTCCAGCTCTGCACCCCACATCATCTATTCTGCAGTGCCCTGACCCTGCAGTGATTGCTCCTCCATGCCACCACTGCTTTTCTCCCCACCCAGACCCTTTTCACGAGGGGCAGTCGCTGGGTTTTGGGTGGTTGTTGTTGTTGTTGTGGTCTGGTTTGGTTTTGTTGGTTGTTTCAGGGATTTTTTTTTTTTGGAGGGGAGGAGGGGAAGACTTGATCAGAGAACAACAAACAAGTCAACAGTAGTACATCTCAGACAATGAACGAGGAGAAAACACCCCCACACCCAGACAGAAGCAAAACGAACACATGCACAGGGAAAGAAGACAGAGCAACAGCAGACTTCAAACAGCCAAACAGCAGCAGCCTCGTAGGGACAGAGCAACGAGCAACTGCAGTGCTGGGAATGCCCACCCCAAGCATGGAGCAATGGGCACATCCCATAGGGTCACATCTACAGGAGCTCCCTGGGTTCAAAAGAGCCAGCTGAGCTCAGGACCATGGAGCTTTGTGTCTCTCACATTCAGGTTGGAAAAGAACCCCTAAGATCACCCAGTCCAACTGCTGAGCTTGCCTGGCATTGCCCTTGCACAGACCATGTCTCCTGGATAGTGGCCTTGCTGCGTGGAGAAGAGCTTTGCCCCTTGTTTATTAAGGATAAGAACCAATAAGGATAAGAACCCTGCTGGCTCTGTGTGTCCTGCACTGCGAGAGAGGGGCTGCTTCCCATGGCTTCAAGAGCAGAGAATTGTTCCTAGTGAATTTAATTGCTCTGAGAGTATTTTCTTTTTTGTTCCATGTTTTGACTGTGTGTAAACAAAAGTGAAGCTCACGTGGTGATTGCTGCAGCCACAGCAGATTAGAAAACCTTCTGTTCTTAAGCCATGGGGATGTGCACCATGCAGGATTGGTTTTTTGTCTTCCAGAGCCTAACAGAATCCTGAAATCCCAGTGTGGATCAGACAATCAGCTGCCACCTCACTCTGTCCAGCTGCAAGGTTCACAATTAATATTTCAAACCACAGCCGAATTTCAGAGAAGGGCAAAGCCAGTACGTTCAATTCTGAGTTGAGATCGCTGCTTTAAACCCCTTTTGTGAGAGGCACCAAGCAGAATGCTTATCTTAAAATGGGCTGTTTCTTTATTTGTTTATTTTCCCCCTTAACTTATTCCAAAGGCTCAATATTTGTCCTCATCCCAGTGAAACTTTCTGCCCTGCAAAATGTCACCCCCCTCTTCAACTCAGAGCTGAATGGTCCCCACCTGTTCTACGTTACAGCTCAATTGATGTGCCAGAAATTGCACAAGGGCAAGCAGAGCTTGGCCAGCCGCCCCCTGGCTCTGAGCCCATGGAGGTGGGCATCTTCTGTCCCTGGAGGCTGTGCCCCTATGGGCAAGCACAAAAAGGAGGCTGCAAAACCTCGTGTCTTGGAAAGGAAACGTGGCTCCCCGGATGCTAACAGGAGGCTGTGGGCATTGCAGAAGTCCCTAATGACAGACAGTCAAGCAGACAGACACAAGTACAGACTGGGCAACTATTGAGGACCTGACAGAAACTGGGACTCCAAGACAAGAGGCAGTATGGGACAGCAAAGGTAGGAACTGGGGAGAGCAGCTGTGGTTGGCCCTTGGCCTGTTTTGGGGCTCATAAATAACAGAACTGGGCCTGGGCATAGGAAGCAACCAAAAGGCGAGGTGGAGAAGCCAGGGTTGGGAGGAGAAAAGCTGGGGGTCATGGTGCCATTTTCCCTTCTCTGACATTGCAACCAATAGGAGGCCATTGACAGAGTCAAGGAACCCACAGAAAAAAAAAAAAAAACAACAGTCCTGCTACTGCTCAGCATCCTTTAGTTCTGGACTTTTTCCCACATAAACACAAGCCTGCTCACCACGAAAGAAGGAACGAAGGAGCAACGGCAGCTGCAGGGCCACCACATTCGGTTCTCAGCTCCTCCCTGGCTCACAACACAGCTCCCAGCCCAGCACATCCCTGCCCACGAGCATCGCTCCCAGCTGCTCTACGGGACATGAAGGTCTCTGGGTATGAAGTGAGGCTTCAGACGCATCATAGCAACACTGAAACCCACAGCCTAAGCTGTGCCCAGCAGAAGCAAAACCAAGAAACCCCCCACAGGAGCATCCATTGCTTTGATTTCAGCCCCTCCTGTCGCATCTGCTTTGGGAGATGAGTTTGGCTTCAGGCCAAGCCCAGCTCACTGCAGTGCAATGGATCAGGGTACGAGCCAGGTGTAACACCTCTCAGCCCCATCCGCTTCTCCACCCTCTCAACAGCAGTGAGGAGTAACAGCACCAGCCCCATTGCTTGGGCTGATCCCTCACAGAGCTGCTGCCCTGCTAGGAAGATTTCTCAGCTTGCTTAAGGCAGGTTTCAGTGTGCAGCAACACGAAGAACAAATCCATCACGCGTTCCTTCCCCCGCAGCAATGCCCAAAAACACAAACCAAAGCAAAGGGTCGCTGCCCTCCCATCTGTCTGGCAGCAGCCCCTGTCCAAACCTACTATCATTCTAGCAACAGAAGTAACAGAGAAGAGCAAAACCAAACCAAAGGACCAAAGAAACGGTGGACTTCTAGCACTCGGATGAGAAACTGCATCTTCTTCATGTGCTCCCACCTCCATACCCTCAGCCAACATTCCCTGCAGGGCAGCTGGATGTGCAGGACAGCTGTGAATGCCAGGAAAAGGGGGGGTTGAAAGTATAATGCAAATCTCTTTTCTCGTTTTGTTTTTTTTTTCTTGTTTTTGTCTGATTTTGGTTTGTTTGGTGTTTTTTTTTTTTACGTATGTACACAAGTCTGACAATAAAACGTGGAACACAGTGCAATGTCTTGGCTGCGTAGCATCCAGGACTGGCTTAGTTGTGCATCGTGGTGTGCCACGGAGGACACACGGGATGGAGAAGTAAAATGATGTCCTCGCTGGCTTCCAGAGAGATGTAAAAGTAGGAGCTGTTCCCCCGGAAGAAGAGCAAAGTCCTCTTTAAAACCTCACTGCAGTCTCTGGAGGGGAAGGCGTTCCTCAGAGGTGCCGCGGGCTGGGATGCCCGTTATGGTACAGCTTCTGTTTGATGTGCACCATGTTCCCAGTCGCCTCCTCGTACTGCCTGTGGTGACGTTTTCTGAACTCCTTTAAGTTACAAAACTTTGGAATCCAAGACCAGGAATTGTCTGGAAGGCAGAAAGGAGAAGGGAGATATTACAGAGATGCCGAGACCTGCGCTCTCCTGCCTCATCTGCACTGCAGCCCTGCAGGCAGGGCCCTCTGCTTCACTTGGAAGGACCCTGCTCCAGAAGGGCACCAGGAGCTCAGCCAGGTGGCTCCTGGACGTCTCCAAGGATGGAGGCTGCACAGCCTCCCTGGGCAGCCAGTGCTACAACACCCTCACCTAAAGGAGCAGCTCCATTCCTGGAGCACAGCACAGAAAGCCAGCGTGCCAAAGCCATGCAGGCTGTACCTGAGCCTGCAACCAATGCGAGGCTCCCGGCTGCAAACCACGGGTGCAGAGAAACCCAGGTTTCATCAGTACTCTGCTCAGACACACAGCCAGCACCCGGAGCAGAGCCCTCATCTCCATGCATAGACGTGGCAATGGCCAACACGGAGCCACCAGAGCCCACCATCTGGCCCGAGGATGTGCTGAGGGCCACACTTACCGTACCGCCGGCTGGTTCTCCAGGCTCGCACAGCGTAGTGGAGAACCCCATCCATCCACACCAGAAACCAGCTGATACAAAAACCCAGCAACAGTCCCAGCATCAGATCGATCTCTTGCTTGGTTACATTGTCAGTCACAAAGTAGTTCTCTGAGGAATCCACCACAGACTGATCCCCGTCATACGGAATGACGTAATGGACGTGGTGCCTGTCGTGGGGAACAGAAATGGGGAGAAGCATCAGTGGAGAAGAGCAGGGCGTGTTTTCCACCAGCATCTGTTTCCATGGCCAGGGGCTCTGAAGCCCTACCGACACCACTGGGCTCAAAACCAGGAATACAAAGAGCAAAGCACAGCACCCTGCAGCCCAGAGCTCGTGTCGCATTGCTGACACAGGCTGCCCATGCTTGAACTCATCATCTGTAATGCAATAAACAACATTCGGGGCTGCGGCGGTCGCTCCCTGAGTTCAGAGGTCAGCCATGCCTCTGAGGATGCACCAGTTGCATATTTGGGTTGCATATGCAGGTTGATGGAGAGAAAATGTCCAAATAGTGTCACGAGTGATGCTCCGCTTGCAGGATCCTAGTGAAAACAGCCCTTGTCTTCATGAGGGCCAAACAGAGACCCATGTGGGCTCAATGTGTCCCAAAAAGGGCAAAGCCTGGAAGAGCTGTAGGCACTTTTCTGCTTTGGTTTGGCTTAGCAGGACAGAGTGGAGCCTCTGGGATGGGGTGGGGAAGAGGGGCTCCCCCCCGAAAGCCTTCTGGTGGCAGCTCAAGCCCTTGGGGACATGGCAGAAGAAATTTGGAGGCATCAGCACATCAGTATGGAGAATTATTAATAGAATGCAGAGGTCCTGGGTCCCCACTGCAGCCCTAGGGAGCTGGAAATTGGAACGTGGCCTGGATGGCTCTGGGAGCCAGATCCAGGGAGGGAAGGCATCACCTCTGAGCCTCCATGCCAGAGGCCAAGCCTTGTGCCCAGAAACACAGCCACGTGCAGCCACTGGTGCTACCAAGCAGCAAAGAACTCATGAGGTCCTGTTGGTGAGCACCAACTCCTGCACCCCTGAAGCAAGCAGGGATTGCATTCACTGCTTTGTCCCCAGCAAGGCAGCACCAGCTCAGATGAGACAGTGGCACAACAGGCTCAAGCACTCCTGCCCCTTCCCAGCCCTTGTGATGGGGACAGATTTCCCCCCTTAGCAAACCGTGCATGAAGCCCTGAGTGCAGCCGTGATGGAGCAGAGCCATGGCCGGCACGCCTGGGATGCTCCCTACGGAGCTGCCCAAAGCGCTAATGTCCCTTCCAGTGACCTTGTGAGCCTGCTGGCTGCTGCAGCCCAGCCACAGCACCGGAGCCCTTCAAAAAGCACTGCTGTTTAGGATTTGGGAGAACAAAGCTTATCCTGTGCTGCTGGACAGCCCCGGGATGGGCACTGAGGTGCACCGATCCCAGGGGCTGCAGGAGGCGCAGAGCCTCTGTTCTGCATCTCTGCCTGACCTTGCAGCCTCTCCCCAAACATGCCAAGCAGCTCAGCTCCTGGCACAGCCATGGCCAGCAAAGCTGGGCTGCAGCAACAGGGATGGCTCCATTGCAATGGTGAAAATGTCTTCCTGGGACCTTCCATGCTATAGCAGCTGCTGGGAGCCCAGGGAAGGCCTGGTGGTCTCCAGCACAAACAGTGAGCATCCTTGGCCTCCCAGTGTTCACAGAGGGTATGGAGGCATGGAGGATTAAGGATTTGTTCAGAGTGTTAAAAAAAGGAAGAAACGGAGCAAAAATGATGGGTTTTGGTGCTTGGCTTTTGCCACAGCATCTTTGCTTGGGAGGGACAAACTCACCCAAGGTCACCCAGAAGGTCGGTGCCAAGGAGAAGACCACAACCAGAGCCTCTGAGCTCCTCACCCTGTCCCAGGCAGGGAACTCCTGAGCCCCCGGGCTGTTTTGATGGGTCTGTGCTCCATGCAGGTGTCATCTGCTCTCCCCAGCTCACCCAGCCGCCACGGACGCCCTTTGGTGATTTTCCTTTGCATGACATCACCCAGCTCCTGATCTGCTGCCAGCCTGCTGCTTCCAGAGAGGACCCTTTCCTGGCTGGGACAGAGGCACCTGGAGTGGGGCAGTGCTTTGTTTCTGCAGCCCTGCGCAGCCCTGTGTCTCCTGCAGCAGGGACAGCCCAAGGAGGGGGACCAGAGGGGCTGTGGACAGCCTGGATAACTTCCACATTGGAGCCGGAGGGTGCCAGGGATCCAATCCAGCAGCAACATTCCTGCACTGCCATCAGCAGGAGCTCTCAGACCGTAGCTCTCAGCCCTTCTACCTCCTGCAAGAAGGCAGATGCTGAGAGAGGAGCAGCCCCCATCTCCAGGTGCCAGGGCCAACCCTGCTGCTCTGCTGATGCTGTCCCTCCATCCACCATCATTACACCAGCTTCCTTCCCACCCAGCTGGCAGGACTCTGCCCTCTGCTCCCCCACCAAACAGCCATCAGTGCAATTCAGATATGGCCACCTGTCCCAGAAGAGAAAGGCCATGAAGCAGCCGTGGCAGTTGCTGAATGCTTGGCACCACACAACCTCTCTCTGACCTCCTGTGGCCACAGCTTCCTACTGACAAACAAACCTAAAAAGCACCCAGCATGGCCACATCACACTTGTCCCAGTGCACTGCTACCTTGCTTCTGCCATCAAGTGCCAAGAGCTTTGGTCTGAAGCAGCCCTGCATAGTCAGGGTTCAGCAGCCCCTAGCAATGGGCTGCTTTGTTTCCCCGGAATTCTCAACCCTAGCAATTCTCCTTACTCACAGCCAGTGCTCAGGAACATGGAAACCAGAGCAGAGTCCTCAGCTGCAGGAGATGAGAGCTCCACAGGGCAAGCGTTAGCAGAAGGTTTTTTAGGAGACAGCAGGCAGAGCTTGCTCCTTTCACCTGTCCTGGAACCTCCATGCAAGGCATGGGCCATCACAGAGAGGCACAGGGGTTGGCACATCCCTTCCCCACCAGCCATGCAACCATGAGACCCCAGCGAGGCACCACAGGATGGGGCAGCCAGGAGCTGAAGCCTGAGCTCTTCCCTCAGTCTTGCACGCTGAACTGCAGGCAGTTCCTCTCTCCAAGGCTCCCTTTTGTTGCCAGCACAGTCAGAGCCCTTTGCCAGGACCCGGTGCCACCTTTCATAGCTCCAGGGTATGCCCTGCCTGGGCCACAGCTGTGTGCACGGGGCTGAGCCCAGAAAGCAGCTGCAAAGAGCATGAGGCACGTTTCATCATCCACCCCTTGAACCAGAGGGAGCACAGAGCACAAAAACCCTCACTCAGGAGTGAAGGCAGCTTTGTGTTTTGTTGGCAAGATCCATCTCTTGCACGTACCTAAGGCAACCAGTGAACTTCCACCTTTCACTCCCTGTCATCTTGACAGTTTGGAAGCTGTGCTGTACACTTTCTAAGAAATGACCTGATTCCATCTGAGGACAGAGCCATGGCCCATCCATCTGCAGCCCTGCCCCCTCCTTGGGCTTGGGCAGAAGGAATGCGGCCCCTGACACCAGCAGGACCTGGCAGTGTTAAAGTACATTACCAACAGCTGATTTTCACCACCACTGCATACAAGCATGGCAAGCAAAAAGAAAAACGGATTGAAGAGGCAGAGGACGATTCTTAAACAAGCAAAAAACATCAAGAAGTCTCCAAAAAAATTACCCAAGAGAAAGAATCCCTGACAAATAGAATGAAAGGCGCTGTAGACGTTGCTTCCCAACTGGCAGTAGTGAAGTTGTGCCCAAGGAGCCAGGGTGTGGGGTCTACTCTCAGATCGCTCTGGCCTGGCTCTGCTCAGCCCTGGAGGTACCTCCTTGCTGTTCTGCTACAGGAACCATAGGTCGAAGCAGGGTGGAGAGGATGAGCAGTGGCTTTGGATAAGGTTTGCACACCCCAAAGTGTGAAGGTTTGCTCAGCTCCCATCCGGGGCCACCAGAGGAAAGCAATGGTTGGGAGGACGGAGGAAGTGGCCAGGGGTGGCAGTGGCCAGGGCTGCAGGACAGGGATCATGGAGAAAAGCAAAATTCACCTCCACAGCCACAGCTCAGTTCCTCAGCATCACCCATGGAACAAGGAGCTGCATTTGGGGGAACCGAGCGCTGCCCAACAGCCGTGGCAGGAAACTGTGCAGCCCTAAACTTGCAAGCAGCAAAGACATCACCCAACGTCCCCCAACGCCAGGCCTGCGCTCCGTGCAGCACCATGATGGCTCTGGAGAAAAGCCACTGAGAATCGGAAGCTGACTGACAATCACAGAGCCTCAAAGTGACACCGTCCTCAGCAGCAGCAGCACTCCATCCTGGGTGCAGGGCTGCCCAGACCCCGACCCCTTCCATCCTCACCAGCATCCAGCCAACAACTCCCCCCCCCCCTCCCCCCCTTTCTCCCCAGGGAAAGCACACAGCCCAGTGTCTGCGAAGGCAAAACACGGAGTGTTGGAATTCAATCCAAGTTCCTTTCCTCCCCAGGGCTGCCGGATGCCTGCACACACGCATGCACACAAAGGAAAATGGACTTGCAGGCCCACGGCAAACTCTTCTTGCAGAAAAACAAACCTACCCTTCCCCCCCTCCTCCCCCCATGTTGATGCTGAGACACGGCCAGAATGCAGACAGGGCCTCCTCCAGCCAGGTGGGGTGGAAGGGGCTGGGTCAGGTGAGCCCGACGTCGCAGGTTAACTCACCTGCCACAGTTGCAGTGACAAACTCGGTCTTCCCCTCTCAGATGCGGTAGGATGTAATTGTGAAATCTGTCCAGCAACGCATTCATGTCCATCAAGCAAGCTATTGCCTGTAAGAGCCCATAACCAAGGCATCTGGTCAACTCTGGATGATGGAATAAAACATTGACTCCAGTTTGATTGCCAAAGACTGAAGCGGTCATATAGAAAATAATCGCTGGTGTTCCCCGGGGCAGACACACCGTGCATACACACACACCAAGCACACAGGGACGCGCGGGGCCGGGGAAGGGAAAAAGGGGGGGTTGGGGGGGGGGGGAGGGGGGGGAGGTGGAATGGAGGGGAGGGAAATAAGCAAAATCTCTTACCATAACGATAGAGGCGCCCAGGATCATGAAAATCATGGTGTTTGCATTCATGGACATCAACAGGGAATCGGTAGCGATCGGCTCCGGCCGCCCCCAGCCCGCGATCTGCGAGCGGCGGCCGCGCTATTGCGCAGCGCGGAGCCCGGAGCGCATCGCGCTGCGCTGCGGCGGGGGGCGGTGGGGCGGCGGGGCGCCCCCCGCGCTCACACCCGCACTGCCCCGTGCCGGGCGCCTCGGGCTGCCCGCTGGGGGAGGGTTATGTTGTTATTTTGTAGATAGATATTATTATTTTTTTTTTTTCCTAAGACGAAGGTGACAGGTAAGGATAAAAATAATATATATATATATCTTAAAAATGGGATGAATACTCTAAAAAATGCTTTCCCTTCAAGGCTGTCGGCCGATGGAGGTGCGCCACGGCGGCTCCGGGAGCGGGCACACGGCACAGCCCCGCATGCAGCAACTGGAGAGTGAGCCAGCCGAGGCCGGGGGGAGGCTGGGGGAGGAGGAGGCAAGCCACAAAAATCACCCAGTCCGGGGGAGCCTCATTGCATCCTCTCTCCCGACCCTCCCCAAAATCAACCTCTCCCGATCGGCGAAAAAAAAAAAAAAAAAATCCACCCAAAAAACAACACGCCCCCCCCCCCCCCCCCCGTCCTCCCCCTCCGCTGTTCCCCCCCTCCCCCCCTCCCGCCCCGGGGCAATGCCCGCAGCCCCTCGGGCTCCGGCTCCGGCTGGGCGGGCTGTGGGGGGCTGCTCCCCGCCGGGCCGGCCGCCCCCTCCCCTGCTCCCTCCCCTCCTTCCCTCCCTCCCATCCGCGGCCCTTTACCTAAGGCGGGGACGCGCTGCTCCGGGAGCGGCTCATCTCGAGCGGCAGCGCTGCAGACCTGCCCTTGCCGGGCTTCCCCCCGCCTGGCAGCCGCACGGTTTTCCCGAGCGGAGCCCCGGCAGCGGCGCTTGGCCGCATTTCCAGTCCCGCACCATCCCCACCCCGCCCTTCCTCCCTCCCGGGTCTTCCCCGCTCCCATCCCGGCCCCAACGCGGTCCCGATGCTCTCCCTGCCGCCCCGCAGCCGCGGGGGTCCCGGCCCGGCCCCGCATCTCCGCATTCCCACCCCGCGACGATGCGGGTGAGCAGAAATGCCACGAAGTCCCACGTCCTAGCATCTCTCGAGCCCACGATCCGAGGGAAGGTCGTGCTCTGGATTCTCGCATGGTTTTACATCGTCGAGTTGTGGGCCACGTTTGGGGTCGTCCTGCAAAAAAAAATAGCTCGGTGAACAGGTAACAACTTTTGTTTGGCTTGGTCGGTCGTGCCGTTAAACCATGCGATAGGGATGGGCAGCAGCCACAGCACATCACTCAAGGTTATCATCACCTTGTTGGCACTCGGGGCCACCGTTTGCTGCTTCGAGGGTTTGCATTCTTGCATCTTTTGTTTTCCTTCAGCTCCCCAGGCCACGATCAGCCTCCTTATGTAATGACTTGTGTTATATAAACTCCATTCTTCAAGGAACAGTCATTAACCTACTACTGGGCATTGGAAATACCAAAATACTGTCACACAATTAAAATCACTAAACGGTGCCCTCAAATTAGAGCACAGATTGCATTGCAGATGATTTTTTTTTTTTTAATGAAACCACACATGTGAAGCATTTGCTAAGCCAGGCTCTCCATGCACAGACCCCATTACAGCCAGCTTTGCTCCCACCCATGGTACAGAATCTCCCAAGGCTCAGCACCCAGCAGTGGGAGATGGGACTCCAGGCATTCCCATTCCTTTCAGTGCTCCCATGCTGGTCCCAGCACTTGTTTTCCCAACACCTTCACCTAAGTTCCCACGTGCAATAGAAATAAAAGTTTGGAGCTGGATAGTCTGCCTAGCTGGGCTGTAACTCATTGATCCTCAGCTTGGTGCATCCAGCATCACCTGGGTGAAAGAAAAGCAGAATCAACTCATAAAAATGGCTTGGGTTGGATGGGACCTTAAAGATCATCCAGTTCCGACCCGATGGGAAAGCAGAGCAGAGCTGAAAGCTCTCTTTCAGAGTAGAAAATCTCCTATCAACCAAACCAAAGAAGCGCATTGTGCCCAGCAGGCACAACCCAAAGAGCTCTGTATAGAATGAGTTCAGCTGAAAATAGAAAACATTTCCAGACACAGAAACAAAGAGCGAAGGCTTCAGTCCTGATGCTGCGCAGAGAACTCTGCTCCAGACACTTAGCACCATGCTTGCTTGAAATACATCTTTAAAGGGATCAACTGAAGCAGTTCAGTCCCTACAGAACCCTTCTCCTCCCCGGGCTGTGTGGATCCCCATGGCAACAAGCTGTGGCATCAGACAACGGAGCAGAAAAGCAGAGGAGGCTGAATGAAATCCTTCTCAGAGCCTCCTGAAACAAACCAGGACAGGACAAACCCATACAAACCCACCCTGCACACCGTATGGGAGCTGCTGCTTCAACTCCCCATCCCAAAGCATTCTGCTCTCTTCATTCATTCTCTGCAGGATTTTTCCTCTTTTTTTTTTTCGTAGCTAAGAAAAGCAGCGCAAGTGTTTGAGGGATACAAAACACTCCTGCACCCCGTGCACGATGCTCTGACCCATTTGGGCACTGGCCAGAACGCTGAGTGAGCCAGCAGGTTGTGGCTTTCTCATAGGGTGGCTGAAAGGAATGGGCAGGGATGCCCAGGATCCCTTTGGGATCAACTGACTTTGAGATGAGCAACTTCAAAGAGCAGCATCACCCTAAAAATCAGAACCAACCCCCAGCATTGGCTTCAGGCACAGGGAAATGAGCATCTTTCCGAAGCACTGAGCCTTCCCTTGAGCTGCCAGAGGGCAGTGAGAAGGCAGGCGTGAAGCCAGGAGCCCAAGCTCCATTTCATGCCACTTCACTTCTGGCACATTTAAGTTGTCTCCACTTCTCAAAGCACTAAAGAGCACACAGACTTCACTTGCTCCAAATCCTTCACGGCTCCCTTTAACAAAACAGCTTTTAAGATCTCCTCTTGCCTTTAAGCAACAGCGATTTACCACTCGCACTGGAAATGTCTATAATTTGGTCTGTCTTCACTTTCAAGTTGGTGTTTTTAATTCCTACCAGTTTGCACAAAGAGCTTTTGCTCTGCTCACATGTACATAGTCAGCATCTGGATTGCAGGCTGTGACAAACACGTTTATTATTGCTGTATGTGCAGAGAATATTTCCATTCAAAAGACATTTCAGTTAACAAAGCTTCAAACCATTTCTATTAACAGCGGAGTTTGCAGTTTCTCCCCTTCCTCCTTATAGAAGACATATATACAGTTGGGCCCTGACAGCTACAGTTCCACCCTTGTATTTCAGTCTCACATACAGTCATTCAGAAGCAATGAAGACCCGAAAAAGATTTAGTGGAGGTGCCCTAATTCACGTGGAGAAAGCAGTTCGGTTGGGTTCAACACAGGATCAGCAACCAAGGGAATGTGCCCAAACACCAGTGCCTCCAAGCCAGGGTCAGAGCAGCTCTTCCAGCTCCTGTCCAGACCTTGCAGAGCACTCACAGCTTGCTTGGCTTCTATTTCAGAAACAGACAGACTTGCAGGTTTTTCATTTTTATTGGATGCTTCCAATCTTATATCTAATAATATACAGATAACTCATTTGTCATCGCTCCATTCATATCTTCACATAGTTCAGCCATTCTGTCACATTAAAATAATAAAAAAAAGAAAGCACAACTGAAATAAAATAAATTTTTAAGCTGGAAAAATACATTATAAACTTATATTCAAGAAATACTCTCTTTATAATTAACAGCCTACTCATAACAATTGAAGTAGGATTTAAAGGAAATCTTGATTTTCATTTTTAAATAGGTGGCCTTTGTGCATACTTTGCATATGTACAATTCAACTGGTATCTCTGCCTGCCTGTGACAGAATACCTGAAACCAAAACAACCACTGAAGAGGAGTCTTGAACAAAACAAAACAAAAAAAAAAATCAATATTCATTTTCCAGGAAAATACAGTATAATCAGAACTTTAAACACATGCTTCTCTCATCTGTATTAAGGCCTAGGAGACAGATGTGCTTTAATAAAAGCAGACAGTATGAAGAAAAGTCCTTCCACTTTTCTCTTCAAATTCCTGTAACAGCTCATCTATTTCATTTTCCATGTCTTCTGTGTGCTGTATCTAAATGAGAAAAAAAAAGAACACTAATTAACCAGGCTCCAAGGATACAATGCAGTTAAGAGAATGGTAACGACTCGACGTTTTTGGCTTACTGTGAAACCTAAATCAGCATGCAGCACCCAACTGTGCAGCACTGGGTGCTTTAATGAGATTCCCAACATTCCCAAACCCACATGTACTCTGCATCGTGTTCATCTGCACAACCTTCCTTCTCCAACCCACTGAGCTGGCACTGAAGGAGCCCTTTGTTGAGTAGGCAACATCCATCCTCCCTGGGTAACAAATGGAAGCTTCACAACAGCTACAAGCACTCTGAACAGATGGCTAAAATTTCAAGTCCCTTGGATTCTCTTAGGATTTTTGGATCTGGAAAGGATGCAAGTATTTGAGACCAGAATAGATCACAAAGGCAGGAGTGAAATAAAATAAAAATAAATGTGTTGCCACACCGGAATAGGTAACCGGGCTTGCATGTTGTGAAACAGAGCCTTTGTTCTCTTGGTAGTTGCATCAACTGTTTCCAGCCTTCTTCCAACAGGCAGGGCCAAGAGCATCGAAGGTGGAAGACAGGAGGCACCAGGTTTTCCACATCATACACACAACAGGGTGGCACTATGAAATACACCTACACAGGGTGCATTTCAAGCACACAGTGATTCAGAACGCAGCTCTGATGTTTAAATCCCACATGTTACAACTGCCTCAGACATTTTAGCCATGAACAAATGTTGTGAACATGGGCCCAACGAGGCCAGTGCTCTGAGATGCTGCTTCTTGTGGCAGCTAACACTGCTCTTGAACAAATGTACTGTTCACTTCAGAAATTACCAGCTCCATTGCAATTCATCTGCTTGCCCAACAGCTCCAAAAATAACTGCAATGATTTGCTAAGTTAGG